ACTTCATTAAAAAATCAATTCAAAAAATTATTTGCCGCTGAAATAATGGTTTCATTTGAAATTGTCTTTAAAATTCAGGTCGATTCTTATGTATCACAGTTAGTCTGTTAGTCTGAACAAGTATGGTAATAAATCAAAATGTAAAATCAAAAGTAGTCAAGGTAAGATATAATACAAACACCAATACGGTTAACTTACCCCCTTAAAATGACGGTAATGGTAGGAAGTTTAATATATATTTTTGATTTCTGTTTATTTTGTACGGCTTTCTCAGCTGGTGGCAATTAGGATTATGGTTTATTAAACCAAACATTAGGCAGTGAAATATCCAGAATGAACGTGATTCGACAGGAAAACATTCTGAAACAAAAATTGCAAAATGCTGCTGTGTATTGTATCATATCAACAGTATTAAGAAAATTACTTTTTTGTAGGTTGTAGGTTCATTACTGAATTAATCCCCAGAGGCTCACATAATATGATTTTATTCAACTCGTTCAATAAATTCAGTATTGAACCTACTCTCATTTACTCTCATTTGTGCATCAAGTCGATACACGAACTTTAGATAGATGGCTTACAATTGATACAGCACTCTTAAACAAAGTTTGTGTAATACAGTCGTTATAAAAATTAGAGCTACATTGTTAATAATTTCAATATTAAATTTTACATACGTTTGCGTACTAACAGATACATTTATACGTGTGGGAGTATATATATGTCAAGAAAAACGATGATTCAGTTTAATTCTTGTTTAATTCTTGTGATTTAGCATTTTCGAATGACATTTGGGAAAAAATTGTCACATTTGACCATTATGTTAGAAATGTCATGTCACGGCATTGAAACATTCATTTTGATAACATTCAATGTGTTCGAATTGTATTTTTGTTGTATTGTCTGAAATTGGTACAAATTCATATCCCTCACATGTATTGTTCGTTGTCTCAATTTTGCCACAATTGGCCACAAAATTAAAGATAATCCCAAATATGTTTAATAGGTATTGGATAAAGAATAGACACGCTATTGTTGTCTTAAATCAGTGTTATCTAAACCGTCATGCTTGCAATGTTTGTTCTACATGTTGCAATAACACAAACATAAATATTAAGACGTGAATAAAAACGCATAAAACTGTTGGCATTTGTGAATTATATGTCATCAGGGAGTATGCAATTAATACTACATTTCAAATTGGGCACACATTTCTATTGGATTGAAAAACATATGTGCGTATTAAAAGTAAATCATCAGTATTTAAAGACCCATTATGCCTATTCTATTTTTTTTCTCAAATACTTTTCTTTTTTATTATCTTAATTAATATTTCTCATTTTCCATATAGAATAATAATCTTTGCTCCATTTGCTTTGGTTGGCCATATGTATAACCATGTGAATTAGTATTTTTTTATTAGTTTGCTACCTTATAGACACACACTGCACCATCAGCGATTTCTTTCTCCAGCTGACATACCCTAATTCAATTTAATACATTATTAAACACAAGCTTGACAATTGCAAAGCTGCAAATTGTACAACACATGTCGTCTGACCTTATTTCGAACAGGCAGACTAACGAAATAAAAAGAAAGAAATCACACACAAAAAAAATCTAACTTTAAATTTTTATTAAAAGAAATATTTATTTTGAGCGAGTATGTAAGCAGATACATACATATTTTGAGCAAAATATTTCAGGACAGATATTCTACATCGGTCACTTTCACATGGCAAACGCTATGATAGGATGGAATTTGAATATATTGTTATTGATTATATTAATTTTGTTATTTGGTGATACATAGGTTACAATCAATAACTGCACGAATTATCCATTGAAATGAAGTAGGAATATAGAAGTGCACTGCCCATTTATCAATTCATCAGATTTCCTTATAGAGTGAAAAGTTATAAGAATTATTTCAAAGGATATTTTTTATATTATAATATTAACAAATGAAACATAATGCACAGAGTGCATGTCAACAAGAAAAGACCAAGTGTTTGTAATTTATAATACCATTCTAAATAATTTGCACATTGAAATCAGACCTAAAATAATCATACATAGTGCGGTAATATGTCCGAGTGTATTTTAAGCAAAATTTCTATTTAACCAAAAGTTTATTCATGTCAGACTATTATCACACATATCATTCCCTAGCCGTTTTTATGTTGAAAAATATCTGTTGTAAATATATATGTGCATATGGTTTACAAACTTTAGTGCTTAATAAGAGCAAACAACGTGCAAAAATAAATTAAAGTTTAACTTTTTTATTTTTAATTGATGTTTCTTAAATTCAAATTTAATTCATCATGTGTCATACGTTTAGAGTAAGGTTCTTAACTAAGCTGATTGCTTTTCTTATGTAAGGTACCGCTACAGTTAACTCATAAGTTGCCCTTTCTTTACTTCTGTCTTGTTATATATTTCTGGTCCTTCAGGATCATTGAGTCCACCAATTTTAAGTTGATTATGTCTAACAGAGATGAAGTGGTATCTAAATTGATAGCATAGTCATTTTTGATAATTGTCAAATAAATATATATGGAAATATAAAGAACATGATTTATCTTTAAAATTTAGCACAATTTTATTTTACTTTTATTAAAACATTTGGGTTCTTTTGAACAATACGTGATAAAGATATACAAAGTAGTTTACAATTAAATTCACAATCAGAAAAATAGGACACAAATGAAAGCAATCGAAATGAATTCATTAATAACACCAATAAGCAAATCCGTAAAAGATGACGGTCTCGAAGCTCGAGTTATATTCTTCGACATAAGCAAGGCATTCGATAAAGTCTGGCATAAAGGCATTCTCTGTAAATTAAAATATTATGGTGTATCTGGAAAATCTTTGAATGGTTTCAGGATTATTTAAGCTGCAGACGCCAGTGTGTTGTTCTAAGAAATGCCAAATCTTCTTGGGGTGTTCTCTCTGCTGGTGTTCCACAAGGTTCGATCCTTGGTCCTTTACTTTTTCTCATCTACATAAATGACATAGTCCAAGATCTTCAATCCAATGTTAATCTTTTTGCTGATGATACCAGTCTCTATCTTGTTATTGAAAACCCACAAACTGCAGCACAACAATTACAATCAGATATTGAAATAATAGCTGCATGGGCGGAAAAATGGCTTGTCACTTTCAATCCGTCTAAATCAGAATCCCTTATTGTCTCTAGAAAAAGAAATTCATATCACCAACCACTTCAAATGCTTAACCAAACTATACCTGAAGTAAAAGATCATAAACACTTAGGATTATTTTTGTCTCACAATTGCCTGTGGCATTCACATATAGAATATATTAATGAAAAAACATGGAAACGGGTGAACATAATGAGAAAACTGAAATTCATGTTAGACCGTAAATCTCTTGAAATTATTTATATATCGTTTATCCGACCAATCCTTGAATATGCGGATGTGGTATGGGGAAACGCATTTCAGTATGAACTTGACCTCTTAAATAAAATACAAAATGAATGTGCTAGAATAGTGTCTGGTGCAACAAGACTAGTTTCAATTGAAAACTTAAATAATGAAGTAAATTGGGAAACATTAGAACAAAGACGTTATAAACATAGATTAACATTATTCTATAAAATCAAACATGGCATTGCACCAGAATACTTGTCAGAACCAATACCGTATCAAACAAACACTCGTTACAACCTTAGAAATTCAAACGACACTATTGGTATTTCAGCAAGGACATCTTTATATTTTAATTCTTTTTTCCCATCTTCAATTCGTGAATGGAACAACTTGCCCCTTAACATAAGGAATTTACCAACCCTTTCAATGTTTAAAAATTATCTATCACGTGATAAGAAAACTACACCAAAATACTTTTATTTTGGTGATAGAAAACTTCAAATTCTTCACACCAGGTTACGCACAAAATGTAGCTCCCTAAATTATCATTTGTTTCTTAAAAATATATCACCATCGCCATTATGTGGTCAAATGGAAACTAACTTTCATTACTTCTTTGAATGCAATCGCTTTCGTACATGTAGAGAAAAATTATTGGGAAATCTAAATAATTTCGATATTACTCTCAACACCCTACTTTTTGGCAACCCGGACATCTCAGATACTGATAATGCCAATATCTTTAAACATGTTCATACTTTTATCTCAGAATCAAAGCAATTTCTCTGAACTTAAAGTGAAACAGTGAAGCAATCTTTCTTTTCTCTTTCTTTCTTTTTCTTCCTATTGTATAATTTGTTTTCCTTTCTTCTTTTTCCGTTATTATAATTTCTAATTCTTATCCCGATGATTACTTATAAATATAACGTTTACTTCGTCACAAATATTTACTTTCCACTTTTTGATAATTGTACAAAATATTATAAAAATCGATTCATTATAAAGTTACACTAAAAGGAGAAGAATTTTATAAGACTTAGTCTTTCGTTCTCATCCTTTTCTTTGAATATGTTATATATTTGTATTCTGATTGTATTGTATTATGTATATCATGTAAATATTCGGGAAATAAATATGTTTAAACTAAGCAAATCCGTTCAGTGTCAAGGAAGATAATCGATGTAGCAGTTGAATAACGTGTAAATGAAGTTGTGTACCCTGAATACTATATTGAGAACGTCCGCGTTCCAAAGTGCATGTTTCAACTGGATTAGTAAAAAAATAGACAGGTTAAATATATATCATTTTTGTTGTAAACTATTTTAAAAGTAAGTGTACACGTAGGAAAAGGAATATTCGCATATTGTTAAAGGAAACATATTCCACTACAAACGCTGTAAGTTTGTGTTGTATCGATTAACAATATATCGTATTATGCAAAAGAAATGAATGAAACATACAAAAAGGTATTTACTGGTTTGAATAGAATATGATTGAGTGATTTTATTGTAATAAATTGTAGGCCTAGTATACGACAGTCGCTATAGTGTAAATGTCTATTTCGAGACTTATCAAATTACAAGTTCGCAAGCGAGAAAGTAGACTGTTTTGTTAAAATTGAATTTACTAAAGGTGACATTGAAAGAAACATATATCGTTATAAATGAAGAATGCGCATGAATTTATTTACGAGGATAATTTAATTTAGTTCTATTGTGAGTTTTATTCTAAAGGTAAAATATTTAAAATGGATTTTTTACGGCTGGGCTGTTTCATACGTACATGCAGTTATTATTCAATATATCGATTTTTTAATCCGTCTAAGATAATAAAACTTGTAAAACAAAATTTATTCCCTGATTAAATTCTGTAGATGAAAACAAAGTATTGCATAGAATGGGATTGACATACATGTGTTTATTTGTCACTAGATTTCATTAAAAAAGATGGTGAATTTCAAACAAGAATTATAGATAATTCTTCTTAATACTTTAATTTTACTTCTTATAATAATTAATCATTCGTATAATACAGTTTTATATACTTGTTTCTTTTCTATTCCAGATAAAAACATGGAAGTACCAGGGAAATTTGCTGTTTCTTCAGAACAAGATTCCAACCTTTACTGCCTTCCATGCAACAGAGAGGGTTTAAAAGAACCAGCTTTTGGTTATTGCCAGGACTGCGAGGAACATCTTTGTGAGAGTTGTTATAAACACCACAGGAAACCAAAACCTACCATGAACCACGTTCTGCTTGATAAAGGCAGAATGCCACAGCAATCGAAAACCGGGAATGTAAACAATGATCAAATAACTGATTTTTGTACAAAACATAGCGATAAACCAGTGGAATTCTATTGTAACACACATGATTCTAATTTGTGTTACGTTTGTGTGACTCTAGAGCACAAGCACTGCAAAGTAGACTATATTCCCGATGTTTCAGGAAATGTGTCTGGTGAGCTTGAAAAATTGATTGACAGAATGGAGACACTTATGCAAAAGTGTAAATCTAATATCAAAATTGCCGAGACTGCTACAGCAAACATAGAACAAATGTACAAGGCCGTTGTTGAAGATATACAAGTTTTCAGAAATGAAATAAACGAATGTCTGGATAAGATGGAAGCCGAAATTATGAGGGACGCTAAATCTCGCTCACTAACAGCAAAGAGTAAACAAGAAAATGTTAAAACAGGTAGCTTACATATCGCAGAGGAAATGTCAAGTACAATGTCAATGCTCAAGTCTCTGAGCGACGAAAACAAGCGGAATAAGCTGTTTATTGAGATGAAACACGTTGAACCTCAAGTTTCAAGACTATCAGATGAAGAGAAACAATTAGTTGAAGATAATAAAACGGATGGCGAAGTTAAATTTATCCGAAACGAAATGATGCTTAGTCAGCTGCAAAATAACAAATATATTGGGACGATTTCTACATACCGAAAACCTCGTGCAGAAAGTGCAGTATGTGTACAATTTGAAAGAACAATTCAAGTAAAAGCTCCTCTGATAGTCAACAATGCGTAATCTCTGGAATGGTATTGATTTCCTCAACAAATATGATCGTCGCTGACTGTAACAATAAGAAAATTAAAATGATTGACATAGACAAGGAAAAGCTAATATCAGAGTTAGTACTGTCATCTTCACCACAAGATGTTATTAAACTTCCGCAAAATAAATTTGCTGTTGCATTACGTGATGAAAAGTGTATCCAGATAGTGTCTTTTACTGATACAAGTTTGTCTTTCGACCGTTGTGTAGATGTCGGAGGATCGTGTTATTGTATAGCTTATTGTCAGGACAAGCTTGTAATATGCTGTTATAATCCAGGAAAGCTGGTTATTCTGGGTTTAGACGGAAATATGATAAAGGTTTTAGATACTCCTGGCTTGTTTGATGGACCTGAAAAGATTGTTATTAGCAGAGATGAAATGTTTATGTATGTGTCTGATTACTCCTACTGTAAAGGTCACGGCAAGTGTATGAAGCTTGACTGGCAAGGTAATATTTTAAAAATATTCGAGGATCAAGGATATAAAGCCCCAAAAGGAATACAAGAGTTGGATGATGGTACGTTGTTAGTTTGCTACAGTGACAGTAGCAATATTGTTAGATTGTCAGACTGTTTCAAGAAATGTAAAATAGAAGGATTAGGGAAAACAAACTTTTATAATCCACTGGCTGTTTTATACAATGATAGAGATCATAAATTGTACTTTAGTTGTTCATCTAAAAAAGGACTGATTTTTACTCCTCGTGATATAATCAAGATATTTAGCGTAAAATGGATTTAGAGATGCGAACCCGTTCAATAAGTTACTTGGAATGTAATTTAGTATATATAGAAGACAATCATAAGCAACGCTAATATATCCATTTCATTTGCTGTAAAGGAAAAATATCTTTCTGAAAGTATGCTGACAGTGACATTTGTGTAATATATTTTTTCATATCATTCTGCCAATAAATATTTTAATTTACCACAAATTATCTTTAAATTGATACAAAGCCCAGCAGTTAAAATATCTAAGACATCCTTGTTACTTTTGAGATACAAAAATCAGTAGAGTTTCTATTTGCTGGTATTTAGGTATAGTATTGTATTAAGTGAAACATCATTCAACCGGATTATCTAGGAACAGCAAATAACGATAAGTGCAAGTGTGATAGAGAATAATGATAATTTGATCACTTTTTATGTTCGATATGGCATCGTATTCCCTTATCAAGCAAGTTATATTCTTTATAGATATAAAGTGCTTTATACAAGTCGATTGTATCCAACAGAAGTTTTTTTATGAACGAACCTACAAAATACAACTTAAAACCTTTTAAGAAAATGAATGCCCGTACAAGTAGTTTGTCTAAAATATTCATATAACCAAATACAAATTACGAAACTTAAGCGTGTCTAAAATATTGGTTCTGCACACAATCTCATAAGACGTAAATGTAACACATATGACACCCTTTTCATCACCTAACTGTAGGGTCTATATGCAAAATTGTTCCGCAAACATTTTGTGGTCAGTCTTACCTTGAACATCAATAAATAGAAGTCATGTACTACCATCAGATATAAAGGTTTGAAAACAAGTGAGTTATTTGATTGAAGAACAATGATCCTTATATTTTGAAATTTTGAGACAAACAAATGAGAGAAAAAATCGTTTGTTTTTTACCAAAACATTTGTGTTTACTTTTCTCTATTTAAATGTTCGGTGGTGTTTGGAATATTCAAATAAAATTACAGGCCCTACTTAAAACGTCATTTGTTTGTTTGTTTGATTGGGTTTTTTACGTCACACCGACACAGTATAGGTCAAAATATGACGATGTCCCAGCTTTACTGGTGGAGGAAGACCTCGGGTGCCTTTTCGTGCATTATTTCAAGCACGAACGGCACCTGAGTAGAACCACTGACGTTCCGTAAGCTAGCTGGATAGCTTTCCCACATGAAAGAATCCAAAGTCCCTGTTGAGATTCGAACCCAGGGGCAAGTGGTTTGAAGTCAACGACCTTAACCACTCGGCCACGGATGCCCCTTAAACATCATTTAGACATCAAATACCATAGAAACACAAATATATGTATCAGCATTTATGTATCATGTGCACCAGCTTTTTTGTTCAAGTTTAATCTACTTATCTATCTGAACTTTTTTTTATGAAAACCCAAGTTTACATCCTGTATTTCACACCACTTTTACTTCTGCTCTATATGGTTTAACACTTTTTCAGCAAAACATCAAATATAATTGCTTTAACTGGTAATTTAACTCATATAGCAGCAATCAATCGAACCAATTTTAACTTCAAATATATAAGAATGTTTTAGGTACATTTCGTGCATTAAAATATTGCTGTAAAACCAAACAATGGATCACGCATGGTGTTCTTAGGAAATATTAAATTTACAATATGAGGAAATAAACAAAACAAAGACAGTTTAGTACATTAAAGTATAATATTATTTGATAATTTACAGAAATTCAAGTCAAAATATCTTTCCCTGTAAAACCGTGCAAAATGTAAAGAACATAATAATAAAGCAATAATGTTTTGGTAGAGGTAAATCTATCTATCTTCCATTAATCTTAATCAAATCTCCGGTGTCCATCAACGCATTATTGCAGACAAAAGCGGGCATCACAGTAGAGCCATTAACGATGAAATTTATAATTAGCTAGATAGATAGGTTCCCGACATAAAAGAATCCCATTTTCCTATCGGGATTCCATCTTACAGCGTTGAAGTGCCAGTGGTTTACAGTGCACCACTGCGCAAGCTTTTTTGTAAATCAAGGTTAACTTGAGAGAAAGATTTGCTTAACTATAATTTACTGCTTTTCAAAGATAGTTACATTTCTTTAGGTTAAATATATATGCAATTTGGTGTTTACAAACTTAGTTCATACACAAACAATAAATATATGTATAAATATATGTTTTACGAATAAGTAACAAAGAAAACATTACCATATTTTTTAATATAACATCACGATAACAAAAGTGACAATTTATTACAGACTAAAATCTAATGATTACAAAAAGACAATGTCAATGAAATATAATTGATTTTAAATGGGGAAATTAGTTTAAACCAATTAAACAAATTAAACAAATATGAAACAGAGTCATTTAAAAAATTAATCAGTATACCTAACATCATAACATTCAACAGTAAAATTATGTTTCCTACAGTAAAGTAATAATAAATAGAACAATTATTATGTTAACAGGGAAAATATTCCACTACAACATATCAATAGCCAGAAAAGAATATGTCTGTTAGATATTAGTTCAGATAAATCAATCTAATTCTATTCCCATCTTTTTTACAAAATGTATGGAACATATAAAGTAAATAATATTTTGTTTATGGATTTTAAGTCTCTTTAAATCAATCTCATTTCTTGAACATCTTTTTTAAAAGTATATTGTTCAAAGTTAATGAACAATAAATTATAAGAATTAAAAGTGTGTTTATTTGCATACATTTTCTCATTTCATTCATATCTTTAAAAAAATTGTTTTCATAACATTTATGAAAAATGTAGAAACAATTTTTTTTTAATTTTAAGTTATTTTAAGTGTGTTTTATTTGCTATTTTTTTTTTAACTTTTTAACTCATGACATATAAAAAGGAATACATAAGGCCAATATTTTCTAAAATGAATTCAACTATCAAAAATATTCAGATAAATTAAAGTCCAAATGAGAAAGCTATAATAAGAATGATAATTGTTTTGTAGGCAGAATTTACTAAACATATTAAAGATATACTATGCTCAAATTTGATGTCTAAAAATACTGATAATTGCTACACAGTCACTTTATAAACAAAAAGCAAACATGTTTGATTTTACATAAAGTAGATATGTTATGTTTTGATCTCTACACGCTTTAGGTTGTCACAGTAAGAACATAATGCGTTATTAAAAAAAACTGCCAGTTTTTTTTATAAAAAGACGAACATTACTTGAACTCTGATATGGAAAGCAGTTTCCAATTAATACTTTATTCGTTTTCCCTTTCAAATTAGAATTTCAAAGATTTCAATAAATTTCTGTGATAAAAATATTTTGCCCGAGGATGAGCATAGTTTATTTCATGCTTTCCAGTGTTTTATTGTAATATATCAGATGATTTTATTCTGATAAACCACTAGTGAAATTTATAAAATATAATTTTCACTGTAGCCGGACTATATCTGAATGTGGATGAAAAGAAAATTTAACTAAATGGAATAACAGACTGAAATAAGTGCCGTCATACGTAAATTTTGCTTCTTTAGGAAAAGAAAGTCGATGTCACCATACATCATGTTAGAAATGAAGCAAAATTAGAGAAATTTAACAGAACTATATTTCAAAATTGATGATGTGACGTCATGATGTGATGACGTCACGAAAGAGAATGCGCGACATTACGCGGCAAAATCAGTAAAAAATACTTAAAATCACTTAAAAAGCATGAAATAAAAAGAAAATTTATTTGGTTTACATATAAGATTGAAATATATTTCATTCGTGAACACCAGCTATTATATTTTCTGGTGTATATTGCATCTGGTGTTCACTCAGTAAAATTATATTTCAATCTTACATGCAAAACAAACAAATATCCTCTATATATCTTTAAAATTACCTATTTACTACTGTAAATTCAATCAAAACCAACCTGGACAAAAACATATTATTGCACAATAAACACATATAGGCATGTAAAAACCAACATTTATATACATAATTTAGTTATATACAAAAATTGAATGATACAATGTTGCTTATATAAATTATCTATGAATTACAAGTCAAGTTAATATTTTGTGTATAAAACATATTATATTAGTATATAGAAATAACACACAATGTAGAGACATCCAATCAGAATAGCACTATCAGATAATTCATCTTTGTACTTATCATGATATAAACATTGATCATTGTTTCAATTGATGGCAGATTTACACTGTAATAATTGAACTGTCTTAAATAAAGTTTGAAACAAAAAGGAATTGTAAAAAGAAGATATTAAATGAGTGTGGGTTTAATACTTGAACAAGTTCAATAAAATTAGTAATGAAGCTACATGAATATAATATTCTTTTTATCACATATCCAAAACAGAACTGTTTACAGTTAAAATGAATCAATTTTTCATTGACGTGCTCATAGTGTGACTCTAACATTTTTGCCCA